TGTGTTAAATAGCTATGTTAATTAATTTAATTAATTTGAAACTGGTCAAGTAATTAAAAATTACTTGACCAACTCCCTTTGCACACGAATGTGAAAGATTATTAAATTATAAAAACCTCCTTTTAATCCATTAAACGGTTCAAAACTGTATGCTGAATGTTTTCTTCCAAAATTAACTCATTGACTGCCAGCCATTTTCAGAACAGAGTCCCATACTGCCAGAGTTTTTTGAGCATTTTGACTGATTTTTCAAGAGCCACAGAATAGTTTGTGCTATGACTATGTAAACACCGAACACACCAAAAGAAAGAGTAGACTCTCTTCTTTCATCAGGGAAAAAAATGTGTTTCTACCTTATTCCGTTCTTCCTCGACATGCGTCTCACCGGCGACATGTTCTCTCATAGAACCGTTCCCTTTTTCTTATTTGCTACAGTCTATGCTCATCTCCCATCAAAAGTGGCACTGCCCCCTAGAGGGTCAATTTGTTACTACATACTCTGTCTAGAAGCCCATATTTACGGACAAGCTTTAGCAGATCGTCCCCCAGACACTCTCGTTGAAAAACATAAAAGACGTCTATAGACGTCTTTGGCAGCCAATGAGTTAAAGACATGCTGGAGTTTTGTGTTGAAAGCGTTTACACCTGGGACTCGTTCTCCTAAAAGGGAGACTTTGTGAGCCAAAGTGTGGAAAGGTTAAGGCTCTAAAGGCTCTAAACCTGAATCCCTCAGCCTCAGAGGGAATCCTGCCCTCCACCTGAAGCCTCCTCAGAGCTGTTAGACAGTTTTGGGACGGGACAGAGCTATGGCCGGTGGGTTAAAGAGTGGAGTCTTAGCTCTTGGTGGACATGGGCAGAAACAGGATGGCCTTCTGGCCCGGCCCGGTTTTGTTCCCGGACTTGTACTGGCCGGTGCGCTTCAGGGCCACGTACATGTTGGGGTACTTCCTGGAGCGGTAGGTATTGTAGTTGTTGCTCTCCAGCCGCTCTAGAAAGTGGCACTCATCTGTGGCTCGCCTCTGGAGAGAAGAAAACAGGGAAAAGCGGGATGAGCTGAACATTTACCGGCCAGTTAGCTACAAACCAGGAAAAGCAAAAAAACAGGAAATGCTACTAACCAGGAAATGCCACCAACCAGGACAAGCTACAAACCAGGAAAAGCAAAAAAAAA